GGCCTCCCTGTCGGCCGGTGTGGGGTTACCATACCAGACTGTGATGCCAGTGAGGATGCTCTCTACCAGTCCTCTATAAGGACACAACTGCAGAGCCACATCCACCCTCTCTGCTGCTTATCTTCTCTACCTACGCAGTCCAGGTAGGGTGCACCTGGACAGGTGCACAGGCAAGTAAAGTCTATTTGATGTCATTTGTTGTTGTGAAGCACTTTGTAACCATGTTTTGACAAGTGCTTAGAGAAATCAGATGTATTATTATTATTTATATATCATCTTCCTCCTACACATTGCATCACAAAAGTAAAAATACACAACTATATATCTTGGAAAACAGCAGCACAATCCTAGAAACTACAACAGAATAGAGCCATTTTCTTGAGCTGCTTTATAAAACTGTCCACGGTCCACAGGTGGCCGGTGTGTCACAGGGCTGGACCACAGGGACAGACGGCCCCTCAGGTTAGTCTGCAGCCAAGCTCACTGCAGGTCTGTGCACTCTGGAATCCCCCTAGGCACAGGGAGAACCAGCAGGCTGCCACCTGGAAACTTGTTGCTGTGAGGCCACAGTGCTAACCACTGCACACTTGTGCTACTGTGTGAAGAGCCTGTGACTTCCTGTAGAAAATCCCCTGAATACTTCGCACCACATCAGATATTTTTCTGCTGAGCCGCCTTTTGTGGTAGAAACAAGTAATGTCACCCCAGATCCACACCAGGCCAGGCATGCTGGGTAACTGCAGTCAGCCCTTTGTTATGAGACACGCCATCACCCATCAGATCAAATTCACCTTCTGAGAACAGGCGTGCTTTTCTTGACAGGTTCTTTTCTTGACAGGTTCTTTTCTTGGCAGCTAATCTTTTCCTGGCAGCAGTTTCTTTCCTGGCTGCTGTTCCTTTCTCGGCAGGTGTTCCTTATCAGAAGTCACTCTAAAAAAATCACCCTAACACCGTCCCTGCCCTGAGCAAGTATGAGACAAGAATAGATTTACAGACGCCCGGTTTGATGACAAGAGCCACGGTTTAAGAACGGTGTGTGCTGGAAGCAAAGATGCTCCAGAAAACAGGCTGTAATACACAAACGGTTTTCTCTGGGGCTTCATTATCCTACTGTGATATTTGCACTTTGTCTGTTCCAAACCCGGTCCTGTGGTTTCACCAGGTTAACACATCCAGAACCAGGAGGTACACTACTGTGCACAGCAAAGATTTCATCCATTCATCATCTGAATCATTAATAATGAGTTCATAAGACTTCAGCAACAATCGAGAGCACAGACAAAGCAAACTGACTTTTTTAATTCAAATGAACAAGTGCAATACTACGTACAAACTCTTTGACATTTAGTGAAACCTGTTGCCTCTGTCCAGACTCTCCCACCTTCAACATCACAGCTGAACATATCACAAATGGCACACACACACCTGATGATACGTCAGCTGCAGGAAGTCACAGGTGAGCATCTGTGATGCTTCAGATTTTCACAATAGAATCACCAGTGACCCCTGCTGGTTGCTGCAGCTGTGATCAAACTGCCCTGACATGAAGGCGAAAACTTCCTGCTAGTTCACACAATAAGAGTTCTGTTATGATCACTGAGGAGGTACTTTCACAATAAGAGTCCTGTTATGATCACTGAGGAGGTACTTTCAAAATACAAATCCTGTAATTCTCACTGAGGGAAGGCATTCATGTTCAGAGTGCTGTTGTGAGCAGTGGGACAGTAAAACAGGTCCTTCAAACTTCACAATAAAAAAGGTTTACAAACAAAAGATCACTGTCAGGATCAGCTGACAGGAGGTAAAAGCACAGTTAGATTTGCTGTTTTGTTGCTGACTAATTTTGGACACATCTGAATTTTCTGAACTTAGTGAGAGTCAGATTTTTATAGATTGACACAAATATTATTGTAGTTATGTCAGGAGAGATTCAGCTCAATGTTCTGGAGCACTGGGCCCTAAGAAAGACAGTAAAAACACAAAGTTAATAAGAGTTTATACTTATCTCTGGATAGGTTTTGGTCTATATATTTTACTTTGAAAGGTTTTCAGTTAAGCAGCAAATGCAGCAATATAATAAAAATATATAAGAATATAATAAGAGAATGTATGCTGCATGGGAGCAGCATGTGCAGCAGTCAACAGTCAATGTGCAATTATGCATTTCTGTATTATTATTCAGCATGTCTAGTAAGGAGTTATTGCACATATTTTCCTCACATTTTCATATTTGCCATCAGTCTTACTGCGGCAGGGGAAAAGCTGTTGTAAAGTCTTGTTCTGTATGTGATGATACTGTTCGCCCTGCTGTGCCTGAGGCTGTAGGTGCAGTTTTTGTGTCTGAGCAGGGAGTGAGCTGGGTGGCGTGGGTCTCTGAGTATGTTTTCTGCCCTTTTACGACAGCGTTGTGTGTACAGTGTATCCTTGTGAAGCACTTTGTAACCATGTTTTGACAAGTGCTTAGAGAAATCAGATGTATTATTATTATTTATATATCATCTTCCTCCTACACATTGCATCACAAAAGTAAAAATACACAACTATATATCTTGGAAAACAGCAGCACAATCCTAGAAACTACAACAGAATAGAGCCATTTTCTTGAGCTGCTTTATAAAACTGTCCACGGTCCACAGGTGGCCGGTGTGTCACAGGGCTGGACCACAGGGACAGACGGCCCCTCAGGTTAGTCTGCAGCCAAGCTAACTGCAGGTCTGTGCACTCTGGAATCCCCCTAGGCACAGGGAGAACCAGCAGGCTGCCACCTGGAAACTTGTTGCTGTGAGGCCACAGTGCTAACCACTGCACCCTCGTGCTACTGTGTGAAGAGCCTGCGACTTCCTGTAGAAAATCACCTGAATGCTTCGCACCACATCAGATATTTTTCTGCTGAGCCGCCTTTTGTGGTAGAAACAAGTAATGTCACCCCAGATCCACACCAGGCCAGGCATGCTGGGTAACTGCAGTCAGCCCTTTGTTATGAGACACGCCATCACCCATCAGATCAAATTCACCTTCTGAGAACAGGCGTGCTTTTCTTGACAGGTTCTTTTCTTGACAGGTTCTTTTCTTGGCAGCTAATCTTTTCCTGGCAGCAGTTTCTTTCCTGGCTGCTGTTCCTTTCTCGGCAGGTGTTCCTTATCAGAAGTCACTCTAAAAAAATCACCCTAACACCGTCCCTGCCCTGAGCAAGTATGAGACAAGAATAGATTTACAGACGCCCGGTTTGATGACAAGAGCCACGGTTTAAGAACGGTGTGTGCTGGAAGCAAAGATGCTCCAGAAAACAGGCTGTAATACACAAACGGTTTTCTCTGGGGCTTCATTATCCTACTGTGATATTTGCACTTTGTCTGTTCCAAACCCGGTCCTGTGGTTTCACCAGGTTAACACATCCAGAACCAGGAGGTACACTACTGTGCACAGCAAAGATTTCATCCATTCATCATCTGAATCATTAATAATGAGTTCATAAGACTTCAGCAACAATCGAGAGCACAGACAAAGCAAACTGACTTTTTTAATTCAAATGAACAAGTGCAATACTACGTACAAACTCTTTGACATTTAGTGAAACCTGTTGCCTCTGTCCAGACTCTCCCACCTTCAACATCACAGCTGAACATATCACAAATGGCACACACACACCTGATGATACGTCAGCTGCAGGAAGTCACAGGTGAGCATCTGTGATGCTTCAGATTTTCACAATAGAATCACCAGTGACCCCTGCTGGTTGCTGCAGCTGTGATCAAACTGCCCTGACATGAAGGCGAAAACTTCCTGCTAGTTCACACAATAAGAGTTCTGTTATGATCACTGAGGAGGTACTTTCACAATAAGAGTCCTGTTATGATCACTGAGGAGGTACTTTCAAAATACAAATCCTGTAATTCTCACTGAGGGAAGGCATTCATGTTCAGAGTGCTGTTGTGAGCAGTGGGACAGTAAAACAGGTCCTTCAAACTTCACAATAAAAAAGGTTTACAAACAAAAGATCACTGTCAGGATCAGCTGACAGGAGGTAAAAGCACAGTTAGATTTGCTGTTTTGTTGCTGACTAATTTTGGACACATCTGAATTTTCTGAACTTAGTGAGAGTCAGATTTTTATAGATTGACACAAATATTATTGTAGTTATGTCAGGAGAGATTCAGCTCAATGTTCTGGAGCACTGGGCCCTAAGAAAGACAGTAAAAACACAAAGTTAATAAGAGTTTATACTTATCTCTGGATAGGTTTTGGTCTATATATTTTACTTTGAAAGGTTTTCAGTTTAGCTTCCTGTTGAGTGTTTATTTTTTTCTTTAACCTGTTTTAATTCATTTAAATGTTAAGAACTTATTTCAGGATAGTTTTAGCATGATTCAAAAAGAAATCAAGACAAGCAAATATAAAAAAAATCAATGTTAACACTATTCACTGTTTTGACTCGTGTTCGTTTAGATCTGATTGCTTCCACAGAGGAGGTAGACTGTGATTTGAGTTTCAGATTCACCTTAAAGTGGCTGTGTTGAGAATCAGGTCTGTAGTTGTGTACTTCGCGTTGTTGTTTCAGTCTAGTGTGTGTGATGTGGAGAAATCGAAGCTCCACCAGGAGCAGATGCTCCAGACCTGCAGGAACCACCATGTGATGAAAAGTCTTCAAACTGATGTCTGGTCTAGGTGAGGAGCTCCGCCCTGGTCCACAGGTGCGTTGCTCAGTCAGAGCCTTCTAAAAGGTGCGGCCACCACTCCTGATTGGGCGGAGCGTCCCGTGACATCAGCAGTTATGCCTACGCGCAGGTGTGTCAGTCAGTATCCACAGTCCTGCTCCATCACAGCTGAGACGACGGTGTTGCTGTGCACTGCTGTTCCTCTTCTCGGTTTACACTCTGACCATTCATCACCACCCCTCCCCCTGCACCCACACCCATCCCAGCATCCTTAGCAAGCGGGGACACCTGGCTTTGCCGACCTCTCTCTGCCGACCCGGGGAGGAGGTGTCTGCCCGAGGACGAGGAGGGCCAGGACGGGGGTTGGAGTCTGGAGGCAACGCAGCGTGGGCTGGGGCTGATGGAGGACAGCGTCTGCTGGCTGCCGTTCAGGAAGGATGAGGAGTTGGAGCCCTGGTGGCAGCGGTAGTTGTAGTATGCCTGCCAGCCCTGACGCTTCGTCTTCCAGCGGCAGCGCAGGATCCGGATGAAGGCCTGAGGACACAAAAGCTGTTAGTCCAACAGGTGACAGTACCGACTCCATGCAGACACAGGAGAGCTTCACATTAGAGCCGCTGCTTCCCTCAGGCTCTGTTTACCTCACAGCCTCTCAGCTCAGAGTGTGGATGGCTTACACTGATGGGGACCTGCAGGGTGGGTCCATGATCCTGGAAAGTACTGGAGTACTAGTATGAGCAGGAGTACTACCTGTTTGAACTCGCGGCTGTAGCAGGGGTAGATGATGGGGTTCAGGCAGCTGTTGAAGTATCCCAGCCAGAAAATGACTTTAAAGCAGGTTTCAGGAGGACGGAGGCGGCTGTTGAACGAGCCTGACACACAGAAATAAACAACTAAGTAAACAGATAAATAAACAAACAAACTGGTATCAAGCTGCAGGGCCATGTACTTTCTAGACAAACTGCCTCGGGTGCTAAAACCAGCTGAGACTAGCGAGGAGTCACGGTTCAACTGGGACCTGAACCGTGACGTTGTTGTAAAAGTCTTTGTTATTTGTTGCCATTTAATCATCGTTATCTGAGATGTGATTAAAAATAAATGTAACTTGTCAGTTTGTGAATGTGTTCATTTACAAAACATCAGTTTCCCTGTGACATGGACAGACATCCCATCTGCCTCTAGTTGCCAGGATGAGAACCAGCAGGGCAAACAGAAGCTGAGGAGGAAGCAAAATGAGGATGTTTCACTGCTCACAATCGTTTCTCTCTTACCAAGCGTGACAGACACAGAGAACAAACTGAACCTCGGCAGAACATCTGCCACACATCTGTTTCTGCATCCATCACCTTCTTTCAATTCAATGTGATTTACACTCCTTGTTTACTTTTTTCTGTTTCCTCTCCTCTCTCTTCGCCTTAACTCCTTGTTTCCTCTCCTTTAACCTAGTTTCCTTCTCTTACTCATCTTCCCTAAACTTCTGTCCTTCTTTCTGTCTCCTCTCATCTCCTTTGGTTTCTTTTTCCTCTCTTTTCCTCTCTCCTTGTTTCCTTCCTCCTCCACTCCTCTCCTCTGTCCTCAAAGGTGCCGTCCTGTGGAGGAGGCCACTTATCTGTAGGATGTAGGAGGTTTAGTGAGGACTCGGGAGGATTCCGTGGATCAGGTTTTTGATGCTCTTTAGAAAACAGGTGCCTGAGCAGGTGGATTATTTCTTCCTGAACATGGACTTGTAAGGCCATCCTGTGCCTTGGGCTGCTGCCTTTGACTATATATGAAGAATTTGAAACCTCATCTAAACATGTGGCATCTGCCCACCATGCTTGACTGTCCCATAAAAACCAGGTATGTCCAAGTTTGGTGATTGATTTAATGAGATGAAGCCTGCAGAAACCCTGGAGGACAAACTGCAAACTGCAGGGATCTCACACTAAGTGTTTTACAGTGTCTTATTCTGTCCCTGCTGTGGCTCCAGTGACTGACAAATACCTATCAGTGGCCCCTGCACTGACATCAGTGACTGTGGGCGATGCAGAGAAGGTGCTGTGCAGAGGCTGATGACCTCTGCCCCCTGGTCTGCTCCCAACTTAATGAGAACCGGTCCAGTGGAGCCAGTTGGGCCCTGGTGTCAAACAGTGTTGTAACACAGTGACTGAGAGACATGTTCAAACTGTCACCATGTATTTTCCAGCATGTGCCATGTTACCAATTTATTTACCCCTCATGTGCGATAACGAGGGTGCAACTGATGAGGACGAAGCAAAGTCTTCGCTTTTTACACTGTCTGAGGTAAAGGAGGCCTCCTGTGTTTCCTGAGGAGGAAACCTGCACCCCGGTGCAGTGGAGGGTGGGGGGTTAATAGCTGATGGACAACAGTGGAGATCTATGGCATAGAGCAAAGAGCTGGACCAGGGTCTGGTCTTACACACATTACGGTGAGGACACCACATTCGGGGTTGGTGGGGAGTAACACAGATTTGCAGCTTTTACATTCAAAATGTTGTTTCCACGTGAAAATCTCTGGGCTCCTGTGATTCCTGCTCTGCAGAGGATGAACCTCCAGAGTATAATGACCTTCAGTCCACAGGCCCATGTTGGTCTGACACACCAGGGGGTGTGTTGTGGCTGTGACGAGCTATGCAGTCTCTGGATCCACTGTTACTCAGCACCGAGTAGCCCAGAGACGCAGTGCTGCTTGGAGCTGAGTCACGATCTGCACTGCGTCCTCAGTAAATCAGCAGTGAGGACAGGCTGCCCCCCTCCCCCATTTAGAGAGGACTTGTCTTAATTTAATGTGTCTGCATGACTGCCTGTCTTTGCTGGTTCACAGCTGCAGACAAGCACAGTCAGCCTCCTGACACAGAACATCACAGGCGAGATTCAGTCGCCTCTGGGAAAATGCTGCACATTCACTCACACAAACATCAGCCCGATGATGTTTAAGAAGATAAATGAAGGTGTTGCAGTGACAGCGGCCCAGGCTGGGCAGCATTACTGGGAGACTAGTCAGTGTCATTAACCTGCTTTATTATAGTCGTCCTCAAATTTATTCTGTTTATTGTTCAGCTCATGTGCTGCTGTTATGACAGTGTGTGTGCTGCAGACAACAAGGAGCTGAAGCTGTGCACACGTTTTGCAGTTCTGACTTTAAAAGATGACGCTTCATAAACAGGTTTTATCTGTTGTTGGTAAAAGTGTAGGAGGTTGATCTTTCACTGAGTCTGAACGACAAATCCATCACAGAGAATCCAGGAACAACCACCGTGGTTAACGTCCTGCTCTAGGCTGCCTATGTGTCACTGTGAGCCCTGAGTAATGCCGGCAGCAGACTGGCTGATGACACAGGACCTGAAGGCCATCAGTCACAAGTTAACCCTTTGTGTCAGGACAGTTTAAATCAAAACACATGGATTGTTTCTGATCGGTGGCGTGGATTTAGACATGAGGTTTTTAAGGATTTTCAATTATGTTTTCAAGGCAGTTGGAGTTTAAAGGAAGGAGGCACCAGATTCTTATGGTCTACGATGTAAGAGCCCGGTGTGTTGCTTTACCATCAGGCCACTTGGTGTAAAACCAGTCTGTGCTCTCAGAACAGCCGCGACTGTGACATTGTAGAGACAGTGGAGCGTCGCTGTGTCCATGGCCGGGCTGAGCACTGTGTAAAACAACTGTGTTCTTACATGTTACGCTTGTGCAAAACTCTGCTGTTGTACACATGGTAACTGTTTGTCAGACAGACTTACACATGATCTGTTTGTCACACGTCAGGATTTGTTCTGTTTTTCCAGACTCTGTATGGAATATATCAGGGCTGCAGTTGACCACTGTTTTCATTATCAATAATATTTTGATTGATCATCTAAATTGTATCTGTCATAAATAACAGCCTGTATAAATAAAGAAGTGCTTATGCCACTGAAACAGGTTACAGGTGACCTGACTAGTGGATGTCTCAGAGCTGAAGCCAATTTAAACACTGGCCCTGAAGAAATAATAAGTCTTGTCTGGTTTTATACCCGAGTTAGAAACGCCTGAGCTGCCGGAGGCTCGCCAACAGTGGCTGTTTCCTTCTGCAGGGTTACTTCACTGCAGCACAGCTTTGTGTCAGAGCCCAATGTTCTGCAGATTTCTCTCCAGCTTTGCTGTGTTACTGCAATAACAAAGCATGTGGCACACAGAAATAGGACCCGATGGTTGAGAGGAGACCATAGGTCACGGCCTGTAAGGAAAGTGACCAAAGTTTTTCAGCTCCAGTGTTTTTTAATATTACCTTTACTTTACTGGGAGACCTTCATTGAGATTATAAATCTCTTACTTTTTAATGTTTGTTCAACATTTTTTACAGTTGGAACGCCAGTTCAAACTCGAACATGAATGAAAGGTGAAGACATTGCACACGTACCAATGGGCAGAACCAGGAAGAAGGGCAACCAGCAGAGGATGAACATGCCCACCACCATGCCCAGCGTCTTGGCCGCTTTCTTCTCTCTGGAGAACTTGAGCAATTTGACGGAGAGCGTGCTGCGTCCGGCCGAGGCCCCGGTGCACAGCTCATGAACCTGCTGGTTCCTGCAGTGGATCCTCAGGGTGAGCTCGTTGGAGTCTTCCTGGCACTCCTTCATCATGCCAGCCTCCAGGTTCCTAGTGGTGCGCTTCGCCACAATGTAGACTCGGCAGTACATGGCCAAGATGACGGCCAGAGGGATGTAGAAGGAGCCGAGGGAGGAGAAGAGGGTGTAGAAAGGCTCCTCTGTGATCTGGCACTTGGTGTCGTCCTGCAGGAGGGGCGACAGTTTAACCACATGGAAGACAGGGTCAAAACTTTAATCTAGTTTTATTTCAAGCATGGGGGCAATTCTAGAGCTGCAACAATTAGTCAGTTAATCGATTAGTCGACTAAACAGCAGCTATTTTCATAATCGATTCACCATTTCGCTCATTCTTCAATCAAGAACAATTGACAGATTTTCTCAGCTGACGGCTTCAGCGATGCAGAAGTTTTAGCACCTGTGATGGCGGCTGCTTCCAGCCAAGCAGCGGGCCGATGGAGATGACGATGGCGAGGATCCAGACGGCCAGCATGGCAAGCAACGCCCGTTTCTCAGTGACGATCATCTGGTACTGCAGCGGGTAGCGAACACCGATGTATCGGTCGATGGAGATGACGCACAGGGACATGATGGACGCTGTGCAGCAGAGGACATCCACTGCTGCCCAGATATCACAGAAGATCCGACCAAACACCCAATAGTCCAGAACCTGCAGAGATGGGAAGAGCCTGAGCCTGCAGTCCTCTGCAGTAATAAAGCACCAGCATAAGCACCAGTACAAGTCAGTAACTTTATTAATGGTCAATACATCACTAATGTTTTATAGATGATAAGGCTTCAGATCTCTCTGTGACTATCCTCCATTTTCCCTCCTTCACTTCTTTCCTGTGCCTGCGTCCTACCCTGTTTGTCCCCATCACACATTTCTTCTATGGCTGCAGCAAATGCTGATTTTAATTATTGATTAATCTGTCAGCTCAAGTTTTGATTCAGTCAGCTATGACAAACGTCCAGCCCAGTTTCCCAAAGCACAGGATCACGTCTTTAAATGTCCTGCAAAATCCAAAAACATTTACAGCACAATGGCAGAGAAAACTCCGACCACCATCGTGAGTTTGGCTTTTTATTTTGATAAATGACTAAAAATAAATCCTGGTTGTCAAAACTGTGAACTAGTAGCTTCTTGTGGTCAGATTAATTGTTTCAATGATATTTTATTCATTTTTATGTCTGTCACCTTCCTTTTTCTTTAGGGTTCCCTCTTCTTTCCATCCTTCCTCCCTCTTTCCTTTGCTGCTGTTTTGCTACTTTCCCTGATTTTTAAAAAAATATTTTCCTTATTTTGTTAATCCATTCCTGTCAGTTCAGTTTTTGATTAGATGATTAATCATTGTCTGTATAATAATAATAAACGGTTTCCCATAGTCCAGCGCGTACTTAGTTTATGATATAAAATAGAGAACAGCTATTTGAGAAGTAGGAACTGTCAGGTGTTTGGCTTTTTCTTTGATAAATGACTCAAATTAATTTTGTTTGTCAAAACTGTAGACTATTCATTTCTTGTCATGACCAGTTGTTCAAAAACTGATTCTCTTCATTTTTATGCCACTTCTCTTTTTTTCTTGTTGTTTTCCTTTAAAACCTAAATAAACCTCCACTTTGAACTCCATAAAATCAGCGATAACTGGCTGCTACCGGACCGGGCTCTCCCCCACTGACCTCCCGGGTGGCGGACACCGGCAGCACGGTGGTTCCCAGCAGCAGGTCGGCGATGGCCAGGTTGATGATGAAGTAGTTGGTCGGGATCCGCAGGTGCCGGTTACAAACCACCGATAGGATCACCAGAATGTTCCCCACGATGGCGAACATGATGAAGGAAGCCAGCACCATGCCCACCGGCACCGCCCGGCCTAGGTCCAGCGGGGCGGCAGCGCCATACTGGCCGCGGTGCTGGAACCCGTCGCTGCGGTTGGAGGAGTTGAAGCCCGGCAGCAGCGACTGCGTCCCGGCGTAAAGGTCCGCGAAGGAGTCGTTAGTCCACAGGCTCATTGTGGACCACAGTGTGAGATGCGCTTTCTTCACAGAGGTTTTTAATGTACATGTGGCCCCAAAATGTAATTAAAACACTACTTTCTGGGAAAAATTACGAAAAGTGCCTTTCTCTCAGTTTGTCTCTTCACTATGTTTCAGTGGAAGCTTGCGGTCTTCGCGGCTCCGTAATGTTTAAAAAGCCAAGTAATTTTCGGTAAAAACCAGTTAAAACAGAGTAACACTGTCCTGGTTCGCGGTTAAAACCCAGGTATGAGAGGAGCACTTCCTGCCCGGTGTGCGCCGCGGAGCAGCGGCAGGTGGAGGCTCGGTTCCGGTCGGTGTGCGCGGACGGTCAGAGAGAGTACCGCAGGCCGGTGGAGCTCCTCCTCGGCTTGATACGCGGATTCACTGGCGGAAAGCAGACCTGCGAGTGCTTTTATGGTCCAAGTGTTTAATGTGGGAAAGTTCCGAGTGAATAAGAGGAAAAAAAAAGAAAAGACACAAAGTGGTGCATCCTGCACTCACAGAGGGAGAGAGACACTGGGGTGCTGCGTACCCCCCATCTGCCTGCCTGCCTGTCTGTCTGTCTGTCTGGATCCTACAGTATACCAGGTTGTACAGCACGGTGGCCCTGAGAAGCTACACATATGATTTTACATATAGATCATTTTTTACATTTCCTGTTTCAGGTGGGATCATGGCAGTGCTGTCCGGTCACACCATTCTGTATAAAAGGCACAAAGCCAAGATGGGGGGTGTATTTTGGCAGCAGCAGAACTGCAGCGTCTGGCTCTGCTCCACGTGTTAATCCTAAGGAAAATCCAGAACAGCAGCAGACTTAATCTTTAAGGTCTCTATGATGATGTCAAATAAATATAGTCTCTTCCATTGGAGAAAATCAGTTAGTGTTTCTGTCCATCTGTTAAATTCATCAGAAACATAACACCTCCCTAGACCACACAGTTCAGATCCAGGGAGAAACTCTACATGTGTGTGATATGAGGCTAGTCTGAAGTCTCTTCCAGTCAAAGGCCCCAGCGCCAGGTGATATCAGTAGACTGCGGGTGGGTGCAATCTATTTTCAGACCAGTTAGAAATGTGCACCATGCTGTTGGCCGCAGGACAACGATAACCCCCTGTTGATGTACTGTTACAGCCAATCAGAGAGCGGAGCCTCAGGTGGGCGGACAAGTTTCCACTGATTTGGTTTGTTGTGACAGACTGGACTATCAACTGGACAACCACCCCATAGGCCCCATGTTCACTTTATGGTGCTACAGAGTTTAGCCACAAATTTGCACTGAAGTAGAAAATCAGATGTAACTGGTCCATCGGTGATTCTTCAGTGTTTAGCAAAAATAGAGAAAAATGTCCATCATTAACACCAAAATTATATGTTCAAACAGTTCGAGTTTGTCTGACCAACCATCAAAAACCCCAACATGTTGAGCTCAGAAACCCGAGAATCCAGCTTATACCATACGAGATGAGTCTGGCCATGGATCATGGAGTCATTTCCTCAAAACAACCACACTGGCAGGGGCTCATCTCCTTAAAGCTTAAAATCTTAAAATCCATCTTAAGAGTTCAAGGAGTTTCATAGAAACAATAATAGATTAAGACGCGTTTTTAGATTTCTTTGGACCTATTCCTATCAGAAAGCTAAGCACTAACTGCTGATATGCTACCATTAGCCAAAAACAAAGCCCTAGAGCTAGCAGGCCTTGTATAACCTGCCTGTTCACGTTTCAAATCGATTTTCCCCACTCAGTGACACACCCGCTGAGAAAACAACTCTGGTAATCGGAGACTCCATAGTCAGAAACGTGAAGCTAGAGACACCGGCGGCCATAGTCAAATGTTTTCCTGGGGCCAGAGCGGGCGACATTGAATCCTATTTGAAGCTGCTGACTAAGGATAAGCGTAAATACAGTAAGGTTGTTATTCACGTCGGCACTAATGACTCCCGACTTCGCCAGTCGGAGGTCACTAAAATTAATGTTGAGTCGGTGTGTAACTTCGCTAAAACAATGTCGGACTCCGTAGTTTTCTCTGGACCCCTACCCAATGTGACCAGTGATGACATGTTTAGC